TCTTATGCCAAACAGGCATATTTTTGGGTAACAAAGTCTATGCCTCTCCAGCTCCTAAGGTATAAACTTGTATATCATGTTACTATACTGAATACTGTAGGCAGTGGTGACACCATGATCTATGTGTAATGCCTTGCCCTATGGTGATAGGAAATTTTAAGCTCCATTATAAACTTATGGGACCACCATAATACAGGGTGAGGCAAAAGTAGGCTTATAGTTGTTCTTATGGAAAATAATTAATAAATAATAATACAAAAATAAACTTTCACAGTCTCACAACTATAAACCTACTTTTGCTAAACCCTGTATATACGGTCCCTCATTGATCAAAACATTGTTATGAGGGGCATGACTGTATTATGCAAGGATTGAGTCATCGAAGCCTTAGTAGCTATCATTACACACAGTGTGGGCAGGTAGGGAGACTGGCTTGGAAGAGACTTATGCTTTATTTGATGTAGTTTTGTGTTGGTGTTTATTAAAAGCTAAGTGTGCCAGGCCAGTGTGGTTCAGTGGTTGAGCATGCCTGGGTTTTGGGTTCGATCCCCACCTGGGGGCTTACAGGAAGTAGCCTATCCATGCTGATGTTTCTCTCTCATCAATGTTCCTATCTCTCCCTTCCTCTCTCTCTAAAATCAATTAAAAAAATAACACTGAGTGTATTTTAACATAAAATTAAATGTGTATTTGAAAATCCTGAAATTTGTCTTCTGCACCTCCAAAATTAGTGTAGGAAAATTTCCTCATTGTGCTATTGCAGTAAGCCTGGTGGAAATTAATGCCTTTACTAGTCACTGAGGATTTAGCAACTATACCAGGCATAGCAGTTTTAGGTTAAATATCAGTGCTTTTTCTATGTAAGTAAATAAACATATATGTAATATATAAATATAAGTGTGTGGATTTGGCTAGATTTCTTAGAGCTTTTGGTATTTTAGGAGATAGTTTTTAATACTTTTTATTGTACATGTGTTAAGTGCCAGCCCTGTGACATGTACCATACATTATTTTCGCATTTACTGATCACAATGATCGATATTATTTCTCACTTTGTATAAAACTGAAGTTCAGAAAAGTTAATTTGACTAAGATAAGTGACAGTGTTGGATGAAAACTAAGTTCTGTCAGGTATTGCTACTTCTCAATTTGTGTTATATCTGTTTCACTCTTGTAGTCCTGGAATCAATAAGCCCCTATTATTCCCCTTAAAATTTTTTGGAATATGTTTATCAAATGTGAATAAATATGAACAGAGTAATGAAAAAATTATATGGTGCTTTGAAATAGATGTAGAGAGATGCATAGAACTCTGTGGGATTGAAGAAGGGGCAATACAGCTTAGTGACTGAGTATCAAGCCAGTGATTATGCCAATTAATGTAATGTTGTATAAGTGTATTCAAATTATTGTAGGCTCAACTTTTATAGCTCTAATTGAGGATGGTAGCTCCTAACTCTAAGGTTGTTCTAAGACCTTAATTGAATTAGTGCCTGTATGAAAGATCCACTCTTAGTGCCTCACACATAATAAACCATCCTAGAGAGCATTTCTCTTGGTCTGAGTCTCACCAAACTTAGTCCCAGGAAAGAAGTGAGGAAAGGATAAGCAGTGTGGTTTGTGAAGAGGAAGAACATCATGTCACAGAACGGTTGATGGAAATGAAGTTTCTTTAAACCATTAAAATAAATAAATGAATAAAGGCCAAGTGCTTTAGGGGACCATAGCCAGATTAAGGTATGAAGGACTCTGAATGGTAAACTGAGGATGGAGCGTTTTGCCGTGACTCTTGGTAATTGACAGGTTTAAATAAGAGGAAAAGATTTAATCAGTTTAAAAGGTGAAGGACTGAAGGATACGTTAAATTATATCAGGAAGCAATAGGCAAATTTAAAAATTGAGATAGTTTATAAAAATACATACTGTATAAAAAAACTTAAGATTTTCTAGAACAAAGGTTGAAGCAAGGGACACTATTCTACATTGAACAGTATTTACGAGAACTAATTAAGTGCAATATGTGGGCTATATTTGAATTCATATTAAAATATATCTAAAATAGAAAGCTCCTCATTGGCCAGGAACAGTAGGCATATATTAGCTGGCATTTGTATGATAACTTTTTTAAAAGGTTATAACCTCCATTTTATAGATCAAAGAAATAGCATTCAAAAAACATACATGGCCCTGGTCCATTTGGCTCAGCGGTTAGAGCGTCGGCCTGTGGTCCAGAGAGACCTGGGTTTGGTTCCCGCTAAAGGCGCGTAAGTACCTCGGTTGCAGTTAGTCCCCGGCCCTGGTTGGTTGTGCGGGTGGCAGCCACTCGATGTGTCTCTTTCATGTTGATGTTTCTCTCTCTCCCTCCCACTCTATCTGAACAAAAAATGGAAAAATGTCCTCGGGTGAGGATTAAAAAAAAACCAAAAAAAAACATACATGCATTTTCCTAAACACATACAGTAAATAACCAGAAGTCAAACCTAGTATTCTTTTATTATGTTGTGAAATACTGCCTCCCGTAGCTTGTTGTTATAATAGCTTTTACTTGTGCAGGCCCAACACTGAGTCAAGCCTTAAATTTGGGAATAATTTATCAATGAAGACTTTATAGAACTACTGCATTTTTCCTATTCTGCAGGTAGGAAGAGAAAGTCTATAGTAAAAGAACTTGCTAGATCACCAAGACAAAGCCAATTTCAAATGTCAAAGCCATATTATTCTCACCATCTTTGGGTTATGAGGAAAAAGGAAAAGCAAGATTTGAGAAAGTGTTAGTGTAGAGAGAAGAGAAAGAATGCTGTGTTGATGGTTAGGTGGCTCACAAACTTGGGAGAATTTGATTGGCTTAAAACTGGGTGTAAGTGGGTATCTCAAAAACAAGCCAGGAAGTTTTCTCCCCAACTTCTTTTTTTTTTTTACTTTATTGATTTTAGAGAGAGAGATACAAACATCGATGAGAGAAAAGCACATTGATAGTCTGCCTCCTGCACGCCCCCTACTGGGGATTGAGCCACCACCCAGGCATGTGCCCTGACTGGGAATGGAACTAGGACCTCTCATTCCTGGGACAGCACTCAATCCACTGAGCCACACCCTCCAGACCACCCTAACTTTTAATATTTAAAAATCTAACCCTACAGAAAAGTTGAATGGATTACAATAAACATAGATATACCTGTATACATCTTTGCCTAGATTTACCAGTTGTTAACCTTTTGCTATATAGTTGCTTTTTCTCTGTTTATACAATAAGTCCTCACTTAATATTATTGATAGGTTCTGAGACTTGAATCAAAATGATGTATAACAAAACTAGTTTTACCATAGGATAATTGATATAAACAAGAGTTAAGTTCCTGTGACATTTCATCAACATTATAACAACACAACATTGAAAAAAACAGTGTTATTCAAGGATCTGCTGTTTATACACTTTTAAATTATTGAATCTTCTGAAATTAAACTGCAGCCACCAAGATGGTTCCCCTCTTGTGCTTCAGTATATATTTCTTTTTGTTAATCTTCACCTGAGGATATTTTCCATTGATTCCCCCCCCCCCACCCACACACACACACACAGAGTGGAAGGGAGGGAGGGAGAGACAGACATCGAAGTGTTGGCTCCCATACAACCCCTCCTGGGGCTGGGGGTCGAACCTGTGACCCTTTGGTCCTTGGGGCCAACATTCTAACTGCTGATTCAAACTGGCTCAATATATATTTCTTAAGTACAAGGACATTTTACTTTTTATTTATGATAAGGTAATGTAATAAATTAAACACAATGTAATACTGATACAATATGGCCCTCACTAGGTGGCTCAGCATGTTAAATCATTGTTTTGATACTCCCAGGTTGCAGGTTCAATCCCTAATCAGGGTGCATGCAAGAATCAACCAGTGAATACATATATAAGTGGAACAACAAATCAATGTTTCTCTCTTCCTTCCTCTAAAATCAATCAATAAATAAAAATTTAAAAGAAAACAATGATACAATATGATACCTGTACAAAAATTCTCACAGCTGTCCCCAAAATGTTCATTTAGTTTTTTAACTTTTAAGATCCCAGATTTGATCAAGGATTACACATTTCATTTGCCATATATCTATAGCCTTAAATCTAGAGTGTTTTTTTTTTATTAGCTTGACATGGAATATTTTTGGCAAAAATATTTTATAGGCAACTTATGTGCTTATTATATCATATCAGGAAATTAGGTCAGTCTGTTCCATTTTTTTTTTTTTTTTTAATCCTCACCTGAAGACATTTTTGCATTTATCCTCAGATAGAGCAGGAGGAGAGAGAGAGAGAAACATCGATGTGAGACAGACACATCGATTGGTTGCCACCCACACGACCCCAATAGGGGCTGGGGACAAACTGCAACTGAGGTACTTGCCCTTAGCAGAAACTGAACCCGGGTCTGTCTGGACCGCAGGCAGATGCTCTAACCACTGAGCCAAACCGGCCAGGGCTGTTCCATATTTTTGTTGTTTTGATAAGAAATGTGCGAGGTGAATCTCTACAACTATGAATTCCTGTTTTTCCAAGGACTTCCACACTATGATTTTAGCATTCATTGATGATTCTTGCATGAATGTTTTAAAACATTGGTGATTATGGGATCATATTTCTGATTTAATGTTTCTTATCCACAGGAAGGATTCCTTATGTTGGACCCAAAGCCATTTTCTTGAGCAAGAGAAGCCATTAAGCTTGACTTGCACATCATTGAGTGGGAAGAGCAGCAGCCCAGCTAATATGTTCTAATACACAGTAAACTGCAGCCTGTGATGTATGCTTGGCAATAGCTAAGGGGCAGAGGATAAACAAGTTAGTAGAAGCTGCCCTCAACATACCTGAGCCGGTGAAACAAAGCTGGTTAGTTTGTGAGGTCTGGGGAAGGATACTCGCTGCTTACTTGGTCTTGAGCTAGCGCCAGGCCTTACTAAAGGACTCATTACCTTATCCACCACCACCTTTGTTCATAGCTCAATGGAGTTTGTGACAGCCGTGGCAGACTTTCAAGCAGGGGCTAGCTGTCCCATCTGTTTGGACTACTTGAAAGATCCAGTGACCATTAACTGTGGGCATAACTTCTGTCTTTCCTGCATCACTATGTCCTGGAAGGACCTAACTGATACTTTCCCCTGCCCTTTTTGCCGATTTTGCTGTCTAGAAAGGAAATTTGCAAGCAACCCCCAGCTGGGCAATTTGACTGAAATTGCTAAACAACTCCAGATAAGAAGAAGCAAGAGGAAGAGACAAGAAGAGAAGCTTTTATGTGAAAAGCACAATCAGGTTTTGACTTTTTTCTGTCAGAAGGACTTAGAGGTTTTATGTCCACAGTGCGGTTTCTCCAGTGATCACCGGAATCATTACATTTGGCCCATAGAGAAAGCTGCCCCTTATCATCGGGAAAGATTGGAGTATTGCATCGAACCATGGAAGGAGAGAGTGGAACAAGTTGAAAAAGTGATAATTATGCAAACCAGAAAATCACTAGAACTGAAGAAGAAGGTAGAATATAGGAGAGAAGAAATAAGGTCTGAATTTGAACAACTAATACTGTTTCTTCAAAATGAGCAAGAGACTGTTCTTCGGCAATTACAAGATGAAGAGGTGGATATTTTAACAAAACTAAATGAAAACCTAACTAAATTTTCAGATCATGTTTCCACATTAAAATACCTATTAAAGGAGATTGAGAGCAAACATGTGAAGTCAGAACTGGAATTCCTGACAGATGTTAAAAGTATCTACCATAAATATAAAACCTTAAAGATCCCTGAACCTTTGTCATTCCAGTTAAAGGAATATGGTTACCATCTTCCTCCACAATATTCTGGCCTAAACAAAATTATCAAGCGATTTCAAGTTGATGTAGTTCTAGATCCTGAAACAGCACATCGTAAACTTATTGTTTCAAGTGATAGAAAAACTGTGCGGTATGGAAATAGAATGCAAAATTTGCCTCATAACCCAAGGAGATTTTATCTCTGTCCAGTTGTTCTGGGTTCTGAGGGATATAATTCTGGCAGACATTATTGGGAGGTAGAAGTGAAAGACAAATCTGAATGGGTCTTGGGTGTCTGTAAAGACTCTATTCCCAGAAGAAGAAAGAATCAGAATCCATCTATTTTAATACAGGATGGACTGTGGTGTATCAGGCGAGGTGGTCAGTGTACTTATGCTGCATTTGGTCCTAAAAAAATTAATCTTCTGCCAAAAGTAATACCTACTAAGATTGGCATTTTTTTAGACTATGAATTGGGTGAGGTTTCCTTTTACAATTTGAATGATAGATCTCTTCTTTATATTTTTAATGATTATTTTACAGGTGCGCTTTGGCCTTATTTCCATACTGGAACTGACTCAAAGCCTCTTAAAATCTGTACAGTAACAGATTCTGAATAATGAACTGTTGTAAGACTCTTGTTTCTTTTAAGTTTGCAGACAGAACTAAGCTAGTAAATCTAAATCTCAGTAATTCTGTATTTATTTTTTCGTTAGACAACCAGAATGGTTTTTAGTTTCATCGACTTCTAAAGATTGTGTTTAAAATGCCCAGTTTACAGATAACTTATGTGGTCGAATTGGAAAGTGGTTTAGAAATTCTAAGGTAAAATATTCATGAAATATATTACTTTAGCAGTCTGATATTGCTGATAAAATCCAGTAGCTTTTTTCTGTATTAAGTGCCTACATGTTTTCCCTTAAAAAAAGGAAAACTTTATTAAGGGCATACATGATGGCCACCCCAGGACCACCTCTGTAAAGGTAGCCACTCAACTTTCATCTCTTTACCTCAGTAATTGTCTGTTATTATATCTTTGTCAGTTTTGATTTAGTACAATGAAAAGTGAGGTAGTGATCCCACCATATACATACATCATATACTTATGTATGTACAGACAATTAATAGATAATCTTCCGTATTCCTTTTTGAACATTGTACTCTCTGTTCAGCTGCCATCCCTCACCTCATTTGGGAACTGACCTCTTTTCTCAGAATCCCTGATTTAGTCATTTCCCTCCTTAGGCTTACTCTATTCAGGGAATCACATCTTTTAGTAGATCATAGATGTGTAAAATTTAAAAGAACTTGTATCAACAAAAGTGACTGCTGAGCTTTTGATTGGGATTATGTTGAATCTTTAAATCATTTTGCAGAATTGACATCTTGACAATATTGAGGCTTCTAGTTCATGAATTCATTTATTTGGGTATTTAACTTCTCTCTGCAATATTCTATAGTTTTTAGTGTTCATGCCTTTAATGTTTCTTGGCAAATTTATCCCTAAGTAGAATTCATTGGATTTTCTGTAGAGATGCTCATGCTATTTGTAAATAAAGACATTTTTCATTAACAATCTAGGTTCTTTTTCTTTTCTTGCCGATTTATACTGACTACGACCTCCAGCACAGTGTTGATTCTTATTCTGAATGGCTTTGCCCCTAATTTTACTGCTCACATTTACACAATTTCTACACTTTTTTTATTATCTAATTTTGATAACTCCCAGTCTTCACATAATTTCTGTTTAATACTGTCAAGTCTATTACCTAACCATTAGTCATGTCTAACTTTTGTAAATAATATACATTGAATATATATCTATACTTTTTTTTTTTTTTTTTTATCCTTACCCGAGGACATTTTTCCATTTTTTGTTCAGGTAGAGTAGGAGGGGGAGAGAGGAACAGAGAGAGAGAGAAACATCGACGTGAAGGGACACATCGAGTGGCTGCCACCCGCACGACTGACCAGAGCCGGGGACAAACTGCAACCGAGGTACGTGCCCTTAGCGGGAACCGAACCCGGGTCTCTCGGGACCGCAGGCCAACGCTCTAACCGCTGAGCCAAACCGGCCAGGGCTATCTATACTTTTTTTTTGCCATCTGTTTATTGAAAGAAGAAATGGGGGCTGGGGGCACTGCCCTCCGGCCTGGATGTGGCTCTTGGCGTTGAAGGCCAGGTAGTAGATCACTAGGCCAGTAACTGTGGCCAACACCTTGGTGGAAACCCAGGGCCTGTTCCACATTTCCTGATGGTCTATGCTGACTGTGAACAGGGGTGGGATGATAGAAATGTCCTCGTTATTTCTCTGAGCCTTCCTCAGGAAGCTGTAGGACTCATCAAAGAATCTGACCTCATAGGTGCCTGTGTGGGCACTCTTGTGGTCTAGGCTCCAGGAGACCTGATAACGCCCCACGTCCTGGCCCCGGGTGACAGGAAATTGTTTCCCACTGACATCAGCATAAAGAGTTGTGTTCTGGACTCTGTTCTATCCAGTTTCCTCTACTATTAGACATTCCATTGAACATAGTCATGAGGTGCATTATGATTTTGCTTAAGGTTTTACTTTGTTTTCTTTCTACTTCTGATGGATATTCAGTTTGAAACTTTCAAAAAGGACTACTATGAAAATTATACATGTGGTTTTTTTGCAGTGAATTTGCTGGACCTTCATCTTTATTGGATACATTTTTTCCCCAAAGTGTTGTGCCAATTTACACTCCTAACCACAGTGGAAAATGTTCTCATTGCTCTGCATTAACAGAACTTGATTTTTAAGAAGTCTTTACTAATGTGCAAGGTTTTAATGTTATTTCTGGTTTTAATTTTTTATTTCTATGATTTCTAATAGAGTATATTTCCATAAGTTTAATAATCATTCCTGTTTCTCTTCTATAAAATACCTGTTTTTATTTTTTCCTTTGTTTTTCTATTAGTCTGTCTCATTGATAACTTTTCTGGTATCTTCTCCAACTTTATTTCTTATGGTGTCTTGTGTAGATGTAGTTAGTTTTTCTATTTATTTTATTTTAATTTTTGAGAGAGAGAAACGATCAGTTGCCTCCCATATGTGCCCCGACCAGGGAATGGAATCCACAACCTGGGAATGAGACCTTTCAGTATACTGGATGGTGCTCCAACGAGCTGAGCCACACCAGTTTATCAATCTCTCAAGGTTTGGATTCTTTTTTAAGAAATCCTATCCTATACCAATTCCATTAAACATCGACTTGGAGTTGATGCTGTTTTGGGGTATAAGATGGAGCCTGCCTATGTGTTTTATTATAAATAATGAATAAATAACCAATGGTCACAATTTATTGAGCAGTCCATCATTTCTTCAACTGATTGCAATGCCACCTGTATCTGATATTTAACCTGGTCTACTGGTCTCTTTGGTCCACTACCATACTCAAATATTACAGTTTTCTTATTCTTGATATCTGTTGACAATTTTCATTTCTTCAGGGTTACCTTGACAACTCTTGGCCTCTTCCATGTATATTTTAGAACCAGCTTGCCCAATTAAGCATAACCATGGGGATTTTTATTTGAAATTACATTAAGGCTATAAATCAAGTTGGAGAAAATAGACAAAAGGAGAAATCCCCTGACTATAGTTAAGATCTCCATAAGCTGGCTCAGAATGCTAAATGTTAAGACCAGCTTATACAGCCAAGGTAGATCGTCAACCAAAAATGTGATTCAGTGTCAGGACTGATAATGCCACATGCACCGGAAGGATACAAAAAGGTTTTACACTCGTGTAAAGAGGCTTATGGGGAGAGCAGGGTGGTTATCCAAATAGGTCCAAAATGACTTGAGGGTTCAGGGAAAGGAGAGAAGCTTTGGGATATTTATGCTGGTTACTGAGTGGTGGTGGTGGTGGTGGGACTCTGGCCCGACTAGGTGCTTGCTTGGTATGAACTTTCTACTTGCACCAAAGGATGGAGTACATGGGTTTTCTCATCAGCTTTTCCCAGTGTGAGGAGAAAGGGACAAAAGAAGGGTAAGACCTAAAAGTTTGAAAGACACCATCTCTAAAAACAGTTGGAAGCAATCAGTGCCTTGCTCCCAACACATGCAGAAATAAATGAAACCCACTGAGAATTGTCTCTCCACCATTCTATCTTCTCTCTCACCTGGAAAATATAAGGTATTTAAGCATAGGACCACATCCAGAAACGTGCACAAAAAATTTTAATACATGTAAATATAAACAAAGTTTATTGAAACAGTAACTTACAATGAATACATTCTAATCCTAAAATTTCAAGAACATTCCAGTTATTCACTTGTTACCACAATATCTCTTGTACGTGAAGCAAAATGGGGAAAAAAAGAGAAAGAGAAACATCCCAAAGGTTCAAGTGATATAAGTATTTCTTTTTTTTTTTTTTTAATTTTGGTGCTAACCTTGACCAGTATGGCTCATTTGGTTGGAGGATTGTCCCATGCACCAAAGAGAGGGGTGGGTTTGATTCCTGGTCAGGACACATAACCAGAGTCGGGACACATGAGTGAGGCAACCAATAGATGTTTCTCTTACATTGATGTTACTCCCTCCCTCTCTCAAAATTAATTTAAAAAAAAATGGTGCTAGATTCACTAATAATTGTACAAAATTCCACCTAATGTCTATAAATCACAGGAAGAAAATGAAGCAAAGTCACAGTTCATCCTTCATAATCTCTTACAGCACAGATTTTAAGAGGTTTAGGATCACAGCCGATATAGAAGTAAGGCTTTAGCACTTCAGAAAATTTATCCATGAAAGAATGGATGTGAGACCTGTCGTTCAAACTATAAAACGAAACCTGACCCAACTCATAGTCCAAATAGATACCAATCCCTCTGGGCTTTTCCTTGAGCACAAGGGCGACAGAAACAGACCCTTCTGCGACATAATCACCATTCCGCAGCTGAATCATCCAGCATCTGTTCTGTCTTGGTGGGGGCTGCTTTCTCTCCTTGATGAGGGAAGCTTTACAAACCCCCACGGCCCACTCAGGCTTGTCATCCACCTGGACCTCCCAGTAATGTCGGCCACAGTCAAACCCTTCAGAACCCAGGACAACTGGGTCAACTGCAAATCCCTTTGGATTTCGAGGACCTCTATGTTTTTTCCTCACAAATGTCACAGACTTTTTATCCTCAGACACAAGCAGATTAGGATGTGTTGTCTTGGGATCCAGAGTAACTTCTTCTCTAAATTTCTGTATAATTTTCTGCAGAGCCGAATACTGTGGAGGAAGACTGCATCCTTCTCGCCTTAACTGGATCCAGTAGACAGCTGGGGTTCTCAGGCTTTCACAACTGTGGAGGACACTCTTGATATCCATCAGCAATTTCACATCTGACATCACACTCTTCTCCGCCACCTCCGTTAGCAGGCCTTTGAGGGTGAAAATGTGGTCTGAAAATGCAGTTGTGTTTGCAATGAGTTTCTGTTGAATGTCCTTCTCTTCTTCAATTAGCCTTGAGAGAACTTCCTCTCGCTCACGATCTACAGATTGCGTCAGATGCTCAAATTCAGAGGCTAACTTTGATCTCCGATTTTCCACCTTCTCTCTCAGTTCTAACAGATTCCTGTCCTGGGTGGCTACTAGTTTCTGAA